GCAATAAGAAAATTGGGATGAGGTACATGAACAAACCTCACTGAATGGGAAAAAAAAAATGTTGAAGTATTTGTGTTCCACGTGAATGTTCACCAAAGGGTGACCTCAGCAGAGGAGGATTTTAATAATTAAGTGGATAGGATGACTGGCTCTGTGGATACTAGTCTGCCTCTTTCCCCAGCCACCCTTGTCATTGCCCAACGGGCTCATGAGCAAAGTCACCATGATGGTAGAGATGGAGACCATACACGGACCCAGCACCATGGACTTCTACTCACCAAGGCTGACCTGGCTACGGCCACTGCTGAGGACCCAATCTGCTAGCTGTGATTTTTATTTTCCAAATGTCCCACCAAATACGTATTTCTTTAAACACACAAACATGTATATACATTTCCCTAACACAGACAAAACAATTAAAAGACAAATTTCCACAGCACCGCCATGTCCCATATTGTACAAAATATATGCCTTTGCTTATGAAAACCTTCATAAAATATATGAACTTTTTAAAACCTAGTAGGAGCAAAGTTTACAAAACCATAGTCTTTAAAACAATATGGCACTGGCATAGGAATAGACAGACAAACCAGAGGGAAAAAAACAAGGAAGTAAAATTTAGCATTTATTTCCTGCTTACTCTGGACCAGGCAACAGACTAGCTACTTTATACTATATATATGTTCCACTTACTGCATATAACAATTCTATAAACTGGACCTTGATATGTTTATTTTATAGATAAAAGACTGAGACTTTGAAAGTGTAAACAATTTGCTCAAGGTTGTTCAGGGTTCCAGACAGATCCGAAATTCAAACCCAGGTCTGACTCCAAAACCTATGCACCTGAGCCCAGAAACAGACCCTAATGTAGTATTTAGCTTACTGAAAATGAAACATAAAAAAAAAATTAATATAGAAAAGAATAAATATTCAATTAATGGTATTGAGACAACTAGTTGTCATATCTCAATCTTCTAAACACAAAAACAATTAGAGACACCAAAAAGAAAAAGGCAAAATATTTTTAAAAAATCAAATTCCAGAAAAAAAGGCAATTAAAATTAAAAAGTAAAATAACAATCAGAAAAACATGTATAAAAATTGAATGAAAAGCTGATGTGTTCACACATAAAGAGATCATAAATTAAATATGAAAAAAGCAACAACCACAAAAAAGGGCAAAGGACATGAATCAAATAAAATTATATTTGGGATGGGTTTGGTGCATCACACCTGTAATCCCAGCCCTTTGGAAGGCTGAGGAGGGCAGATCACTCGAGGTCGGGAGTTTGAGACCAGCCTGGACAACATGGTGAAACCCCATCACTACTAAAAAAACAAAAATTAGCCAAATGTGGTGGCAGGTGCCTATAATCCCAGCTACTTGGGAGGCTGAGGCAGGAGAATCACTTGAACCCAGGAGGTGGAGGTTGCACTGAGCCCAGACTGCTCCACTGCACTCCAGGCTGAGCGACAGAGCAAGACTCCATCACAAAAAAATAATAATAAAAATAGGCCAGGCACAGTGGCTCACGGCCTATAATCTCAGCACTTTGGGAGGCCGAGGTGGGGAGATCACGGGGTCAAGACATCGAGACCATGGTGAAACCCCAACTCTACTAAAAAATACAAAAATTGGCTGGGTGTGGTGGTGTGCACCTGTGGTCTCAGCTACTCAGGAGGCTGAGGCAGGAGAACTGCTTGAACCCAGGAGGCAGAGGTTGCAGTGAGCCGAGACTGCGCCACTGCACTCCAGCCTGGCACCTGGCAACAGAGCAAGACTTTGTCTCAAAATAATAATTATTATTATCATTATAAAATGACATATTTATTATTTTTCTACATTTTATAAGTTAAAGTTAAAATGTCCTACCTCACTAAAAATTTTTTAAATTAAAATTACAATAATGAGAAACTCCTTTCCATCCATGAAAATGGAATAGATTTTAAAGACATTAATATTCATTGTTGTTAAGTTTATGGCTCAAAACAAGAGGCACCTTCATGGTCTGTGAAGAGAATACAAACAAGTAATTCTAGAAAACAGTTTAGCAATAATATTCATTAACCTAATAATTTTCATGTAAAGAAATTGTCAGAAACCCAAATAATAATTAAAATTTTAAAATCCTCTAGAGGCTCCACAGCAGTTACTGGTTAAGTGGAAGGTTCCACAAAGAGGACAGGGTAGGTTTGGTACCTGAGGAACAACTCAGCTATTTTTTATGGCAAATCTGAACAACATCCAGGCAGCAAGTCACTGGTGGGATAAACGGTTCCACTCTTAAAAATAACAAAATAGCCTTTGAAAACCACTAGGCTAATGTATTGCTATATACATGGCTCAGGGTACAGCCACTAAAAATGATTTCAAAGAACATAAAAGGTATGGAAAACACAATATTAAATGTTTTAAAGGTATAAATTGCATATGCTATATATAATATATACACACATATGCTGAAAAAGAAGTGTGGATTTTTTCTTGTTTGTACATTTTAGTATTTTCCATATTCTGTATAGTGACCACACCCTACTTTTATGAACAGGAAAAAAAAAAAGGTTGGTCTTGCTGTTTTTCATATATAGGGCCACAGTATCAGCAAAAGCCTAAGGGACTGCTAAGGTAGCATCACCTGCAAAAACTATCTTCTACACTTTTTCAAACAGGAGACGGAAAATATACTCATCTTACACATAAAACTAGTAGCCTCTTAAATTTCAACTTGCTCTTTCCTTCCACTGGATTACAGCACCACGAACATAGTAGCAATGAAAGAACATATATTATTAGTCTAATAAGCCACAGCATTCTACAGAAACTCCAGTAAGCACGTTACACATAACAGGTAACACCTTGGCAACACCTGTAGTCCCAGCACTTTGGGAGGCCAAGGTGGGAGGATCACTTGAGCCCAAGAGTTCAAAACCGGCCTGGGCAACATGGCAAAACCCCGTCTCTACAAAAAGTACCAAAAATTAGCCTGGCATGGTGTCACACACCTTCAGTCCTAGCTACCTGGGAGGCTGAGGTGGGAGGATGACCAGGAGGTGGGGCCTGCGGTGGGCCATGATCATTTCACTATACTCTAGGGTTGGTTAACAGAGTGAGACCCAGTCTAAAAAAAAAAAAAAAAAAAAAAACAGTGATCTTTTCTAAATGCAAAATGACAACTATAATAACTACAGCATACACTATAACAATACTAAACAGGCAAGTTATTCCATTTTTTTTCCTTGGATTTGAGATCTCAACACCTCTTTATGTTAACTCAGAAACTCCAAATTCACAAACCTATAATACAAGTTTAATGTAAACAAACTTTTCCTTAAAGCTTGTTTTCATTAATTTGTATTTAATGAAATACAAATACAATCAAATACAAAGGTATCTCTGATACTTTTTTTTTTAGGTCAAATGGCAACTTAGCTTAAATACTGTCAAAGGAGGGCATTTTACCATTAACTCATAAGGTTCTTACTAAAAAAAAAAAAATTATCAAGAAACTTTTATGTTAAAATGATAAATTATAAAATAACCATTAGTACTGATAATACCAATAACTAATAACATTAACAAAACCATAATTAATAACATAAATCAACACTAATAAAATGAGAGGGGTAGGGTATGATGAGCAAGAAAGATATCCACATTTCTAAGAGCTATAATTCTAACACATCATTACAAAATCTTAACAAAGGATAAATGCTTGAGGTGATGGACACCCTGCTTACCCTGATGTGATTATTTTGCATTACATGCCTGTATCAAAATATCTCATATAGCCCATAAATATATACACCAACTATGTACTCAAAAAAATTAAAATTAAAGCATTAAAAAATAAAAATATTCTGTGAAAGCAGCATATGAAAAGAAACAGAAAAAAAGAAAAAGAAAAAAAATTAAGACTCCTCAAAAAAGAATTACACCAGCATGTTCTATGAGAGACGAGTTCAGTTTACAGACACTGAATTGATGCGTAAAAACAGTACGATTCTTCAGAAAGACGAGAAAAAGCAAACACCCCACAGCCTAAATAACTATCATAATAGCTACCGCCTATTAAGTGCCTACTAAAAGACAGTTACTTTACATACATCATTCCTATTCCAAAAACAAGCCAGCAAGCTGGGTTTTATTTATCATCCCAATTAAGACAACAGGAAACTACAGTGAGAGGACAGTGACTTGCCCAAAGTCTTCAAAGCAATACATCATGGTAACTATTTGTACTTGACATAAGACTATTTTTCCCCCTTCTAGCATATATTTTGAAAAGACTAAAGAAACTACTAGCCAATAAATAAAATGGAAACTACAACTGCTGTTTTTCCAGTTCTTTTGTTTGTTTGTTTGTTTGTTTGTTTCTTTGTTTGTTTTGAGATGGAGTTTCACTCTTCTTGCCCAAGCTGGAGTGCAATGGTGTAATCCTGGTTCATTGCAACCTCCACCTCCCAGGTTCAAGTGATTCTCCTGCCTCAGCCTCCCAAGTAGCTAGGATTACAGGTGCCTGCCACCATGCCTGCCTAATTTCTGTATTTTAAGTAGAGACAGGTTTCACCATGTTGGCCAGGCTGGTCTCGAACTCCTGATCTCAGGTGATCTACCCACCTTGGCCTCCCAAAGTGCTGTGATTACAGGCATGAGCCACCATGCCCAGCCAGTTTCTTAGTTCTTAAATGAAAGTTGAGTTCTTCTGACATGTTCAGATAAACAAAAATTCTCTTGCTAAATACTGAAATGAAAATGTATTTATCAAAATCATAGTAAGTATAAAAACTGCTTCTTGACTAAGAGAAAAGTCTTTCACAACTAATTAAAAATAGAAATGACAAATAGAATCTGGTTTTCTGACATTACTAAAGACCCAAATAGTTTACTGGAGGAAGTCACAAATTATGAAGAAAACTAAGAAAAGAAAAACCTAAAAATACGGTGCAGTAGAAAATTAAAATATTAATTGTGATTATATTAGGCAATATATACTAACCATGAATCAGGGAGCCATTTAGCCACTGAATATAGTAGTTTTGAGGAAAAGAAAGCAGGATTTCATTGCTGATAATTGAGAAGGGTAAAAGCAAAACAGCCCCAGCTGACACTGCAAGAGTGAACGTGCTCAAAAACAACCTGGAAGAAAGGAGAGTCATCATCACAAGTGATCTGAAAAAGCAATGAACATGAAAGTCATCAAAAAGAATGTAAACTCTTTAATGTTTTAATCAAAAAAGTATTATATTAAGAATTGTATTAAATATATGTAGTTGGGAGACAAATGATATACATATGGTCCTAGAAGGTAAGCTAGACGAACTCTAAAACTCCTTACTCTATGAAAATGTCAGTAAGTCTAACAAGTAGTATCTAAAAGACAAACATATACTGAAGAGAGAGTACTTCACATATTTCACAAAAAATAAATTGTAGTTCATTCCTCTTTTAAATATTTCTTTCACAATTGCATTTAATTTAAAACTTTGACAATATATGCCAACAGCAATGCAACAACTGTTTAAGTGAAAAAATTACTTGTGAAACCAGTATAAAAAAACAAATTAAAATATTTACTTCAGAGGAAAAAAACTTACAAAGCCATTGGCCTGACATCTATTTAATGGGTGAGGATTAAATAAATTACAATAACGATAGAAAACTATTAAACAATATTGTACTATTAATATTTGAAGCATTACCTAGTCATTTAAAAAAATAAGATGGCTTTAACAGGTACTAACATGGAAGAATAATATAGGTCAACAAAAAACAATGAAAAGCATGGACAATAAATGTAAAACATGCTCTGCCCCCACAAAATGCATAGAGAGAGAGAGGCACAAAAAAAGCCAGCATAATATGTAACAATCCCTTAGGAAAGAGGGATTATAAGGGGCTTTCACTTTCTCAGTTATGCATTTCTGAAACAGTTTTATTTTTTACAACAAACATCTAACTTTTTAAAAGATTTTAAAAGAATAAATTGGCAAAGGAAAAAGGAACTTCACTAATATTGGAGATAGAATGAATATTAAAGTTATGTTAAAGTTAATATTGGAAGAAATTAAAAATAAATATAAGAAAGTATTTTTAAAAAGCAAGAAAAAAATCATACTACAGACACAAAAACACAGAGAACTTTGAGGCCAATGCCATCTTGTGGCAACCAACAGAAGTGTATTCCTACTTAAAAGCCCAAAAAATTACCAGGAAACCTCCTTGGCTCAGTAAATCAATGATAAATTTTAAAATGTAGACCATATAATACATACCAAAAATACAATTGAAAGCAGATACAGATTTTTTGTGAATTAGTTTTTCTGAGCAGACACTGCATTTCCTGGGAGAAGCCTTCTGACATGTGCTTTCCCAGGGTCCGCGGCCAACTCTGGCAGTGACCAGCCAGCAAGTGATCTCTAGCAAGCTTCTCCAGTCACGGGAGGAAGCTATCCTGATTGCTATCATTCCTTCCAATGCTAAAATTAAGATCAAATCCACAATCTCACCATTCCAGGTCCTGCACAGCTATCCCAATATAATTTTCCAGGCTTGTCTCTTACCATGACCCATTTCAACATACACTTAGACTCACCTAACCCCCTCATAGCCCAAACATGAAATGGATTCTCAGGATTCCTTCTTGCCCTCTGCACAGTCTACTCGCTCCCTAGAATACCCTTTAAGTTGCGTGGGAAACTCACACATGAGCCTCAAGACAGACCTCAAACATCGCCTGCCCTGCGAAGCCTTCCTCAACTTCTCCCTTCTTGCTCCCCTCAGCAAAATGACTTCCTCCCCTCTCTTGGCTCCCACATACTCTGACCACACACCTAGCAACTAAGGTCAAATAAAGTTTCCAAAGCAAAATCTGGTACCTATGATTTGACAAAACGAGTAAGCTGATGGGGGCAAATATAGTATTTAAAGTCACAAATGCCCCAGAAAATTCTAAATATATGGTCATTGTAACTACAATGCTTGCTCTTTCAACAACAACAAAAAAAACTAGTAGAACCTATTACACTTTAGGTATTGTGACTGGCCCTGGAGATACACAGAAGACAGCATCACCGGTGACTGCCCTTGAGTAGCTCTAAGGACAGCTACTCATAAGAGGGTGATGTGACGGAGCTCCATCCTGGCAGGGAGTGTGACAGGCCCTGAACTAGAAAACTGCAGCAGTGCCCCTGCTCTTGTAACTACAGAAAGTGCCCTTTAAGAATTAAAGGATAGTTTCAGAAATGTCACCTTCTAAAATGGAGCATTATTTTTAAAAATTACATCTTCAGAGTAATGCATCTTTTCTAATTCTGGTAGTAATAAGAAGTGCTTTCCCGGGCCGGGCGCGGTGGCTCAAGCCTGTAATCCCAGCACTTTGGGAGGCCGAGGCGGGTGGATCATGAGGTCGAGAGATCGAGACCATCCTGGTCAACATGGTGAAACCCCGTCTCTACTAAAAATACAAAAAAATTAGCTGGGCATGGTAGCACATGCCTGTAATCCCAGCTACTCAGGAGGCTGAGGCAGGAGAATTGCTTGAACCCAGGAGGCGGAGGTTGCGCTGAGCCGAGATCACGCCATTGCACTCCAGCCTGGGTAACAAGAGTGAAACTCCGTCTCAAAAAAAAAAAAAAAAAAAAAAGAAGTGCTTTCCCAAATATCTTGACACTCGTGACTATCTTCTTAATCCAGCCGGGAAGGCAGAACCTCTCCTTGTCTCAATAAGGTGGTGACAGCACATACTCAGACGCTGAATATAACTAGTCACTGAATATAACCAGCGTGAAAAAAATAAATCGTTATCTATAGATCATATTGTAAAGTGTCTTTGCAAGGTGATGATGAATTAATAAACCACCTTAAATCACTTTAACACTCCACAAAGCTTTAAAATACTTACAGTTAGCAAACAAGGACCAGGATCCTTGAATTATGAGTCTCTAATCTCCTGTTCTTCAACCTCATCATCAGTGATGTGGCTTGGATATTTGTCCCCACCAAATCTCATGTTGAATGTGATCCCCAGTGTTGAAGGCAGGGCTCTGCCTCATGGGAGGTGTTGGATCATAGGAGCAGATCCTTCATGAATGGCTTGGTGCCTTTACTGCAGTAATGAGTGAGTTCTCATTCTGCTAGTTCACAAGGGAGCTGGTTGTTTAAAGGAACCTGGCACCTCTTCTCTCTTTCTCTTGATCCCCCTTCACCTTCCACCATGAGTAAAAGCTTTCTGAGGCCTCACCAGAAACCAAGCAGATGGTAGTGTCATGCTTGTACAGCCTGTAGAAGTGTGAGCCAAATAAATCTCCCTTCTTTATAAACTACCCAGTTTTAAGTGTTCCTTTACAGCAACTCAAAACAGACTAACACAATCAGGCTCTTCCTGAGCTTTCTACCACGGCCCTGCAAAGGACTGAATCTCATTTCATTCCCAGCAAATGACTGAATCTTATTTCAGAGTGGAAAAAAGGGGTACAATCCCTCCATACTTACCACCTGATAGAGCTGTCAACAGACACTTATTATCCCATCTGTCAAAGGAGGAAGTCTTTCTCCTGCTTATCTGTGCCAATCTCTACCTCAGCCATCTCCAGGGGCCTTGCTTCACCAGTCATCCTCCCTCTAGCTGCTGATCAGCCAAAATAAATATCCTCAGGTGGCTTCTGCTCTTTCAAAATGCTTCTTCAGCAGAACTCACATATCACACCTTTACTTCTTTATTCTCAACTTCTTAATTAGCCCACTGCAGTAGGACTTCTGGCTCCTCATCTAGGACTAAAAAGGTTCTCCTTACGGTCAAATCCATCAGATACTTTTTCACTGCAATCTCAGCATGACCTTCTGTGACACTTCAAGTTGAGAAGCACTACTTCCTTCTTGAATCTCTTCCCCCAACTTCTACAATATTCCCTTCTTCCTAATTTTTCAGCCCCACACTCATTGTGACACTCAAGTTGCTTAAACAAAGAATAAATGCTTTTTTATTTATTTGTAGTTATCAACAAAATGAAAGACCTCATATTTTCAAAACGCCACTGCAAAATACAGGTTACCATAAAAATGTATTTCATGAGTTAATATATCAATATATATTTTTAATTAAAAAACAAATCATAAGCAAAACCTGCCACTTTACATCTTAAACTTTAACAGGTTGATAATATCTAATTAAGAAGTATATGTGGAAACAAGATTTTATCATAATTGAATTTAAGTCATTCAAAATTATTCAGTAAGATGTATATGGTGTTAATGACAAAGGAAATTTCGTATGCAGCATCTGGCTCACACCCTCCCAAATATCATCAAAAGGTCTGATTCTCTGGGCAATAGAAAAGCAACAAATTGAGTGACATTTTACATTCATCTGTGAAATGTTGGCATACCAGCATTCAATCTTAAGTCTTCATCTCAGCTAATCAATAAACATTTGCTGCATGAATTAGGATTCCTAACACATCACTCGAAACCAGTGATTCTTAAGCAGCAGCACTGTCAGGATCACCTGTGGAGCTTTTGTTAAAGCCTGTCTCAGAGATTCTGCCTCAGTGGGTCTTGCAGGTGGGGCTCCCTCACTAGACAAGTATTTGCAGAGTGCCTACTCCCCTGTGCCAGGACTGTGCTAGGCACCTGAGAACAGTGAACCAACAAGCCAACATTCTTGCTCAAGGAGGGTTTATCCTGGACTGGAGAGAGTCAGGCAATAAACAATAAAACATTAAATACGTAAATATATAATATTCTAAAGATGATAAGTGCCACAGAAAAACACCGTAAGGAGGATTGGAAATGGGAAGGAGGATACACGGGTTTCAATATTAAGTGTGAGATATTAGGGAATATTAATATTCAATATGAAGTGTGGGACAGTAAGTGTGGGATATTTCAGTGAGGCCTTAGGGAAGGCCTCGCTGAAAAGTTGAGTCTTGGGGAAATAAAGCAAAACAAAACAGAAGAAGGTGAGAGAGTTAATTCAGTGGAATGTCTGACAAAAAAGAATCCTAAGCAGACAAAACAGGTCAAAAATCCTAAGGCAGAGGAAATATTAATTTCACACCTATTGTACATCAAGCACCCTACCCTAGGTTTTTGTTTTTTGTTTGTTTGTTTGTTTTTTAGCAAATGCTATTTAATCCATACCACAGTACTACAAACTAGGTGGGAACTCTGTTTTACATACAGAGAAAGTAAATGTTCCTCAGTATCTTCTAGACTCAAGTTAATCTTGGATCCAGAATTTGAACCCAGATCCCTCTAACTCATCAGTTCTCACTCATTCTACCACAGCAAAAGACAAAGATCAATAGAGACAGGGAAGAAAGATCGGAGAGACTAGATCAGACTCCTTCTCTCAGCTGACACTCTTCCCCCTGCAGCTCTCCTAACTTTCACCACGTTATATGAACCCACTGCCCCTCAGGAAGAGGATTTCTGTACACATTTCCAGAATACAGAAACCACCTGTGACTGGTAAAACTCAAACCCCTCGCACGTGCTGTGCCAGCTGCCCCGAAAGCAGGTAAAGATGCTCCTGGGCATCTACCCTAAGGACACAGCACCTCACCCTAATGTCAGTCAATGTACTTTTAGGGGTAAAATACAAAGTGATGTGGTCCTTTCCATTTATAAAGTATGGATCTGTAAGTACATTTAAGTCGATTTACCACCACAGGTGGTACACAGACTGAATGGAGAGGAGAAAGGTACATACCTCACTTGCCCTTCACACACAGAGGTTTCACATGGAGAGGATATCTACCTTTATTCAGTCTGTTACTCATTGTAGCTTCTGCAAGGTGGCAGAAGTGAAGTTTTTAAAAAACAGTAATTCACACAGAGAAAAAAATGATTCACTTAATTTTCACAAATGTCACAGGGCTAGGAATAAAACGAAAACCCCTAATTCTGTAAATTTAAAACATCGAGTTTTGGGCCTAGGTTTTAAAGCAGGCATCCCCAAACTACGGCCCACGGGCCGCATGCGGCCCCCTGAGGCCATTAATCCGGCCCCCCGCCGCACTTCAGGAAGGGGCACCTCTTTCACTGGTGGTCAGTGAGAGGAGCAGAGTATGTGGCGGCCCTCCAACGGTCTGAGAGACAGTGAACTGGCCCCCTGTGTAAAAAGTTTGGGGACGCCTGTTTTAAAGTTAGAGAGTAGGTGGCGCGTGCCTGTAATCCCAGCTACTCAGGAGGCTGAGGCAGGAGAATTGCCTGAGCCCAGGAGGCGGAGGTTGCGGTGAGCCGAGATCGTGCCATTGCACTCCAGCCTGGGTAACAAGAGCGAAACTCCGTCTCAAAAAAAAAAAAAAAAAAAGAAAGAAAAAAAAAAAGCTAGAGAGTAAGAATTTCCATCATAAAGTTACAGCTATTTTTATTTCTTATCTAGCTTCCCTACGTCATTTAAAATAAATTACCAAATCTAGTAAATCATAGTCCATTTGTATTCATTTTTCAGTTATGAATCAAATCAGGCCTAGTCATTTATTAGCTGGGAGTTATTAATTTTTTATTGAGGTGAAATTCACATTACATAAAATTTACCATTTTAAGGTGAACAATTCAGGGGTGTTTAGTTCATTCACAGTGTTGTGAAACCACCTCTTTCTTTCATATTCATCACCCCAAAAGAAAATGGCATACCCATGATCCCCATTCTCCTCTCCCTCAGCCCCTTGCAATCGTCAATCTGCTTTTATGTACTCTGGACATTGTTTATAGATGGAATCGTACACTATGTGGCCTTCTGTGTCTGGCTCCGTTCACTTAGGATGATTCATCCACATTACAGCACATCAGTACTTTGTTTATTTTTACGGCAGAATACTATTCCACTGTATGTATAAGTACTTATTTGTACATGTATACAAGTATGTGAAAGAACATAGAATCTTTCTCTTCCTCTTCCCCTTTTCTTACTTCCCTCATCCTCCTCAGCAAAGGATGTATAATCGGATACTAATTATGAAGAAAGATCAGACAAAACCAAATAACTATCCAATAATCTTCAAAACTATCAAGGTCAGGAAAGTCAAAGAAATACTGAAGAAGTGTTTCAGTCTGAAGGAGACTAAAGGACATGACCCCCAAATGCAATGTGTGACTCTGGACTGGATCCTTTCACTACAGCAAGGACATTATTGGGGTAAGCAGTAAGTTTGAATGGGGTATAAGGGGAACTGCTGTCTATGCTGATTTTGCTATTTTGATGGTTGCATGGTAGATACCTAGGAGAATGTGCTGTTTATAGGAATTATACATGAAAATATCCTGAAGAAATAAAGCATCAGATGAGCAACTTCTAAACAGTTTGAGTGAAAAAAAACTTTTCTACTTCCACCTTTTCTATAAATTTGAGATTTCAAAAGAATTTTAATGTATCAATTTAAAAATCCTGGAATACAGAACTTTCCTACATAGGTGCATCTGTGCAATTTCACATTTAAACATCAAAAACTAACAGAAAGGAATTCACTGCTTTCCATTAAGTATGATACTTCAACTAAATTACAGGACCTCCCTATCATATCTCACCGGTGTACATAAGGAATCTGAAAGACAGTCTGGGCCCAGCTTCCTGCTCACAGCAGGCAGGTTCAGTTAACCAGAGGACATGTCTGCTGCCTGGCTCGAGAGCATCATAGTCTCCTCAGCAGACTGTTCGAACAGCAAAGAGTCTTCTTTCTTATGACCAGGCAGTTTTCTCAAACTGAAAGCCATTTCCTCGTTTAATCCCCTGAAAATAAAACCTGTCAGCTCCTTAAATATGCAAATTTCAATAGGAGACAATCGGTGCTCAATTATCCGTACACATTTGCTTACATACGCTTTCCAAGAATAGGATTACTACGTTAAAGCCGTTGTAATATGGAATAAGTATATGAAAGAAGAAAAGGATAATACAAGCTGTTGTAATGTGCTACGTGAATATTTTCCATATTTCTGTCCAAAAATTAGAATTGGATTTTGACAATTTATGACTTAAGAATCAGAAACAGAACAACGGAACTTTAAAATACATACGAAATCCTGTTGACAATGGCATCTTCATCTTCTTGTTCATCTGCAAAAATGTTTTAGGTATTAATATTTCTTTATCTTCTAATGAAATGTTTCATTAATTTACTAAAAACTATAAACTTAAAAAGGCAATTATTGAACAGAAACAATTTTCAAAAACCACCATATTTGTTTCAGCATAGATCCAAATTTAAATCTCATTAAATCAAGTAGAGAATGGGATGTTTTGATTAACAAAATCCTGATTAATAAAACTACTATATGTAAATTAAAGTTTGTTCAAGAAAATAAAACTTAGTAGAACTTTAGTACCACTATGAAATAAACTGTTATACAATGTTCAATGAAACTGCTAATAAATAAAATTTTCTGGTTGATAACAGCCAACAAAAATTACTATAAAATTAAAATTCAGAAACACAGAATTCATCTAACTTTCTATAATTTGAGTTTGTCACTAATAATAGTAGCAAGGAGTCTCTTGAACCATCCTAAATAACCCTGGATACTACTGCATCGGTAACCCGTAAATTATTGTTGAAGTTAGAAACAGAAATTGGCAGGGCGCAGTGGCTCACACTTGTAATCCCAACACTTTAGGAAGCTATGTGGACAGATCTCTTGAGCCCAGGAATTCAAGACCACCTTGGACAACATAAGGAGACTCCATTTTTATAAAAAAATCTTAAAAATTAGATTTTTAGCCTGGACATTTAGCCCGGACATGCCTGTAGTCCAGGCTACTCAGGAGGCTGAGGTTGGAGGATCACTTGAGCCTATGAGGTCAAAGCTACAGTAAGCCATGATTGCCCCATTGCTCTCCAGCCTGGGGTACAGAACAAGATCTTATCTCAAAAAAAAAAAAAAAAAAATATATATATATATATACACACACACACACACACACACACATATATATAAAATTCTACACCATATATAGTATCTTAACTATATATGTAATTATATATTACATATATATTTTATATGTATATATAAAATAAATTATATATTTTATATACTATAAAAATTATTTTATATAGTATATAAAATAAATTATATATGCTTATATATAATTTTAAATATATAATTATATATTGTATGTATAATTTTATATATTTTATATACTATATATTAAATTACATAAATTATAATATAGAATTATATAATACATATTATATATGATATATAACTTTATCATATATAATATACAAAAATATATAATATATAAAATTATATATAAGTATATTAAATATATTTAAAATTATATATATATATATTCATGAAGTTTGCTCCATCTTTTTTAAGTGGCAGATGGCCTTCACTCTGATACTCTCCTTCTTGCTCATGCCTGTCAGCAATCTCTTTTGTCCTCCCACATAAACTTACAAGCTAAAGAGTCTGTCCAGTTATAAGAATACCAAAAACCCTCGTGGCCCGTTCTTCTGATATGCCTAATGTCCTCCAAGGCTCTCTGCTCAGGTCTCTGGAATTCTGTGAACCCACCTGCTTCAGTCTCAAGGACATATTTGGTCCATTCTATTAGTCCATCTCCATTCTTAATTCCAAGATGCCCAAAAGAACTTTTACAACCAAATGTTCCACAAAAGACCATAGTTACAATTACTTTTCATACACTGTTGTGCTCACATCCAATTAATCATCAAGTCTTGGCCGGGCACAGTGGCTCACACCTATAATCCCAGCGCTTTGGGAGGCTGAGGCAGGCGGATCACCTGAGATCAGGAGTTCCAGACCAGCTTGGCTAACATGGTGAAACCTCATTTCTACTAAAAATACAAAAATTATCTGGGCATGGTAGAGCATGCCTGTAATCCCAACCACTAGGGAGGCTGAGGCAGGAGAACCACTTGCACCAGGGAGGCAGAGATTGCAGTGACCCAAGATCATGCCACTGTACTCCAGCCTGGGCAACACAGTGAGACTGTCTCAAAAAAAAAAAAAAAAAATCAAGTCTTTTTTTTTTTTTTTTTACCAAGTTTTCTGCATGGGGAAAATCAAGTCTTAAAGACTGTTTTACTATTTTCGTATTTATTTCCCTTCTATTCCCAAGCCCAGCACTTTACTCGCTAGGTGCAGAGTCCTCATCACTCTCCCACCACGCTGGCACTACTCTAAAAATCACCTCATCCATCTCCAGGTTCCCACTCACCAACCTCTAATTTCATGTAGAATGATCCACTTATATCCACTTATATTCATTCATTCTCTCTCTTTCTCTCTCCCCTTTTGTGTCTATCGTCCATGAAACCATGCCAATGAATTTTTTTAAATAGCTAAGATACTATTTTGAATCTGTATCTTCAAAATTCTTCAGAGGTTATAGAATCCACCGGGTACTTCAACGCCATCACAGAGCCAAGGAACAGTACTACAGTAATACACTAGAGCAAGCACTATAACCTTATTTCTCTCAAAAGTCCTACAAGTTTAAACTGATAACACGGTATCAAGAAATCATTAACTATTCATATAGCACCTACTATTAGCCCAACATCACAAGTAGATAATCCTGTGATTTTCAGAAAACAGCTGAGATTTAACAAAAGACAGTAAAGCAATTGCTTAAGTACTTATAAAACCCTGACCTAAAAAGTCTGAATTAATGAGCATAAAGTTCATTTAAAAAGAGTAAAGATATGGTAGTCCCTCTGGCTGGATAAGGATATATATGAAAGAATAAAAGGAGAATACAAGATGCTAATAATTGGATACTAAATAGTATTATGGAGACTTAAATATCTACTACATGCTCTAGTAGCCAGAAAAGGTATGGAATGTAGATGAGTAAAACGTTCAAAGTCAGAGCCGCTCACAAGGAACCAAATATCCTCGTAAACTTGAGAGTTTCCCAGGTACCCAACAGCCTAGCACTATTCTTAGTTGGACACGAGAATGGTGATAAACAAGGACTCTGGACTAAGAGGATGACTCTAAGAGTAGTCAAATTCCCTGGAGGTTATTTTTAGTTCTCTTAGTAGCAGACAACTGCTTACTTCAATCACCAGCATATTCAACACACTATGACACTGAAGTGTACTAATACACCCCATAAACCATGCCTAGACCACCTGGCATTCTAAGAAAGGTTTTCATTGAAATGTGTCCACTTGCCTGATTTCCTCTTGTATCTTGTGATGATGAAGTAGGAAACAACGTAGAGAACAGCAAAAAGAAGGAAACAAATCTGAAACAAAACAGAGTTCACGGATCATTTACTCTTGTGCATATCTTTTTTAAATAATAGAGGATATAGCTGTGACATTTACAGGAAAAAAAGGATTTAAACTATTAAAAATTTAAAATGTTGGACATCTTACTAAAGTTTTAACAAAATATAGGCCAGGTGCAGTGGCTCACGTCTGTGACCCCAGCACTTTGGGAGGCCAAGGCCGGAGGATCACCTGGGGTCAGGAGTTTGAGACCTGCCTGGCCAACATGGTGAAACCCTGTCTCTATTAAAAAATACAAAACAAATTTCAGCTGGGCATGGTGACAGGCACCTGCAATCCCAACTACTCCAGACTCTGAGGCAGGAGAATCACTTGAACCCAGGAGGTAGAGGTTGCAGTGAACCGAGATCATACCATGGCACTCCAACCTGGGCAACAAAAGCAAGACTCCATTTCAAAAAAGGAAAAAAAAAAGTTTTAACAAAATATTCATTTATATGAACTGGTCAATTAGCCCCATTTAATATCATTTTAAAAAAAAAAAAGGCCCAATGGAGACTTTTCTTTCTGTAAGTTGATCAAATGTTTTTCAAAATCATGTGGAAGTGTGAAGAACTGGACTATCATCACTGACAACTCTGAAAAATAAAGTCAATTAGAAACTACTAAGCCTAGGCTGGGCGCGGTGGCTCAAGCCTGTAATCCCAGCACTTTGGGAGGCCGAGGCGGGTGGATCACGAGGTCAAGGAGATCGAGACCATCCTGGTCAACATGGTGAAACCCCAGTCTCTACTAAAGATACAAAAAATTAGCTGGGCATGGTGGCCGTGTGCCTGTAATCCCAGCTACTCAGGAGGCTGAGGCAGGAGAATTGCCTGAACCCAGGAGGCGGAGGTTGCGGTGAGCCGAGATCACGCCATTGCACCCCAGCCTGGGTAACAAGAGTGAAACTCTGCCTCAAAAAAAAAAAAAAAAAAGAAAGAAACTACTAAGCCTATAAAATATTAAAACATTATCAAAAGCTCCAATTCATTTAAAGAATGTGCTGGCACCAAAAGTTGACAGATACATTAAACAGATTCTATTATATAAAAGTTTAACATACAAAAGGAATCACAAATCAATGTGGGTAGAAAATAATTATTCAATAAATATACTCCATATCAAACCAAAAAGCAGCTGAAGAAGAGACTTCTTTATTATTAAATTCTGTATTTTTTATTTTGCTTTATTTATTTATTTATTTATTTATTTATTTATTTATTGGAGACAAGATCTCACTCTGTTGCCCAGGCTGAAGTACAGTGGCACAATCTTGGCTCACTGCCTCCCATACTCAAGCAATTCTCTCACCTCAGTCCACCAAGTAGCTGACTACAGATGTGCGACACCACGTCCTGGCTAATTTTTGTATTTTTTGGTAAAGACGGGGTTTTACCATGTTGGCCAGGCTGATCTTGAACTTCTAACCTCAAGCGATATGCCCACCTCAGCCTCCCAAAGTGCTGATGAGAATACTTCTACGTCTTAGTGATTTTTAAAATATAATAAATTGTTATTTATCATAGTCTTCATGTCATACAATAGATTGCAAATTTATTCCTCCTACCTAACTGAAATTTTGTACCCTTTGACCACCCCTAGTCTCTGGCATCCATCATTCTACTCATTATTTCTAAAAGTTCAACATATTTAGAGTTCGTATAGAAGTGAGATCGTGCAATATTTGTCTTTCTGTGCCTGGCTTATTTTACTTAACATAATGTCTTTCGGGTTCATCCATGTTGTTGCAAATAAGATTCTTTTTTGCAGCTGAATAGTACTCCCTTGCGTATATACACTATATTTTCTTGATCCACTCATTTGTAGGCAGATACTTACATTGATTCAACAACTTCACCGTTGTGAGTAGTGCTGTCATGAACATGAGAGGGCAGGTATCTCCTCAACATATTCATTTCATTTCCTTTGGACATATACTCAACAGAAGTCATACTGGGTCGTATGGTAGCTCTATTTTTTATTTTCTGAGGAACTTCCACACTGTTTTTCCTAATGGCTGTACTAATTTACATTCCCATCAGCAAAGTACAAGGGTCCCCTGATCACCACATCTTCGTCAGCCCTTGCTATCTTTTGTGTTTTTGATTATGGCCATTCTAACAGATGTGAGGTAACAGCTCATGGTGGTTTTGATTTGCATGTCCTGATGGTTAGCAATGTTGAACGTACTTTCATATACCTATTGGTCATCTTTGTCTTCTTTTGAGAAGTATCTATTCCAGTACTTTGCCCATTTTTTCTTTTTCTTTTTCTTTTTTTTTTTTTTTTTTGAGACAGGGTTTCACTCTTGTTGCTCAGGCTGCAATGGCGCGATGTTGGCTCACTGCAACCTCTGCCTCCCAGGGTTCAAGTGATTCTCCTGCCTCAGCCTCCCAAGTGGCTGGGATTACAGGCTCACACCACCATGCTCAACTGATTGTATTTTTAGTAGAGACGGGGTTTCATCATATTGGTCAGGCTGGTTTTGACCTGCTGACCACAGGTGATCCACCCACCTTGGCCTCTGAAAGTGTTGGGATTACAGATGTGAGTCACTGTGCCTAGCCGCCCATTTTTTAATCAGTTTAGTTCTTTAATTTCAATTTAATTTCTGTCAGATCTGAGAAATGACAGACTGACCAAAAAGGATGGGTCAAGGAACAGGAGATCTCATTACAGTCAAAGACCAAGTGTGCTACAAATGAGGGTTTGCCACAGCTTGCTGTGGAATGTAGGGGGAAAATGACTCTCAAATGAAACCACTCTAAGTGATGATAAAGTCTAGGGAATATCCCATGCATGGATTTCTGAAGAACTACTGGCGGCTATATGACTGACAACAACTTTGGACCAGGATGGCGGATATTCGCCGCACATCATCATGTAGGAATGACAGACTGAGAATGAAGAGGAGGACTACAAGCTGTGTGTCCAAGCGCTCCCAGCACACGAGGGAAAACAGAAGACAATACTGACAGCAACTCAAAGGAGCAAAGGGCATCACAGGTCACCTGCCACTGGAAGCCATGGACCTGTCAGGAACACTGGCTGGACAAGAAAGCGTTAACAGCATCACTACCTTCTGCCAAAATTATCTGGAGTGTAGGAGATGGTCCAAAGAGGAAAACCAGTTCTTGGTAAATAAATGTAAATGAAGGGGTCTTCTAAGAAGTTGAGAATAACGGGGAAATTGTTTACAATGGAATGGATGTCTGAGTAAAGCCACAAGAGCAAAGAAAAGAAGAGCGATTGGTCAGAAACACTGAATTATGAGGTTAAAGTCAGAGAGATTAGATGACCAAGGGAATTAATATTTAGGACAGATGATTTAAATGCATTCACTGAACAATTATCTACTGTGGGCTTGCTATATACCAGGCACTCTTCTAGGAACTGGGACACAGCAATGAACAAAGTTGTTACCCTCATGGAGCTTAGAGTACACTGTGAGAAAAAGACAATAAATACATATAAAGTATGTCAGATGATGATTAGTGCAAGGTTAGAGGAACAGGAAGCACCAGCAGGGGTAGGGACATGTCTCACTAATAAGGTGACATCTGAGGAAAGAGCTGTGGGACAAGCGGGGTCAAGACATGCAAAAACCTCGAGGAAGAGGGGAATATTTGAGGCAGAGAGAACAGCAGTGCCAAGGGTCAGAGGTAATAATGGCTCAAACAATGAGGGGGCAGAAGTAAGAGACAAGGTCAGAGAATAATGGGAGCCCATTACTGAGGTCATGCAGGACTCAGGTACTAAGTGTCCATTTTTACCCTGAGTGAGCTAGAATTCCATTGCAGGATTCTGCGTACAGGGTGACAGGACGTGACACAGTGCAAAAGGCTCACTATTAAGTGCTATACAGAAAATAAACTGGAAGCAGACCAGGGCAGAGGCAAGGAGAGCAGACAACAGTGAACTGCAGGGAGCCAGAGAGCAGCCACTCGGACCTGTGCTAGGAGGTGCTCAGAAGAGATGGAGTCCTGGGTACGTTTTGAAAGTGGACATGACAAGATTTGCTAGAATAAATATAAGGTTCTTTGCCTCAGAATCTGGAAACACAGAGTTGCCATTTCAGGACTCAGGAACAACTGTAAGAGGAGTTGTTTTGAGGGAGAAGTAAGTATAGCTTACATTGTTGAATCTGACATACACAGAATTCGCTCAGGACAACAGGATGGATGGGCAGTTGGATAAAAATCTGTACCATTCAGAAGGAAGAGCCAGGCCATACATTTTGTAAGACCTTAGAATCATCAGCACATGATATTTAAAGTCCTGAAGCTAGACGAGATTTCCATCCCAGGGAGTAAGTATAGCCAGAGAAGTCTGAGAATAGAGACCTAGAGCTCTCAAATATTCAGAAATCAGCTTGACAGAGGGACTCACAGAAGCTGACTGGGAAGCAGCAGTCAGCAAGGGAGGAGGCAAATCAAGACACCAGATGCCTTAAGGGCCACATGAAGAAAGTTTATTAGGAAAAGGGAATTATCAACAGTGTCAAATGCTGCTGACAAGCCAAGAAAGATGAAGACTGAGAACCGACAACTGGATTGAGCACCGTGGAGGTCACCGGTGACCTTGACAAGAGCTGTTTGATGGAGTAGTGGAGGTACAATCCTGACTGAAGTAGATTAAGAAAGGAGAATAATTGGCATCAGAAATGCAAGTACACAGAACTTCCCACGAGTTTGATTATAAAGAGGAGCAAAGAAAATGTGAAGGGGAATGTGAAAGTTTTTTGTTTTTTTAATGAAAAGCATTACAAACGACTATATGAATAATACAGTAGAGAGAAAAATTACTGATGCAAGAGAAAAAAGAAATAATTGCTGAAGCAACATGCTCAAGTTGTGGGAGTGACATAAAACATATCCATAGTAAAAAGGAGAGAAGAGACATAATATCTGAGTTCAGTTGCAGGTGGTTAAGTAAAGGTGTGGTGAAAGCAGAAAGACGTGATAACATTTTT